CTACACTACTTGTATGTGTGTGTGAGGCTACCTACTTGTATGTGTGAGGCTACACTACTTGTGTGTGTGAGACTACACTACTTTGTGTGTGAGGCTACACAACTTGTATGTGTGAGGCTACACTACTTGTATGTGTGAGGCTACACTACTTGTGTGTGTGAGGCTACACTACTTTGTGTGTGAGGCTACACTACTTGTGTGTGAGGCTACACTACTTGTTGTGTGAGGCTACACTGCTTGGTGTGTGAGGCTACACTACTTGTGTGGAGGCTAACTACGTGTGTGTGAGGCTAAAACTACTTTGTGTGTGAGGCTACACTACTTGTGTGGTGTGAGGCACACTACTTGTGTGTGTGTGAGGCTACACTACTTTGTGTGTGAGGCTACACTACTTGTATGTGTGTGTGAGGCTACACTACTTGTGTGTGTGTGTGAGGCTACACTACTTGTGTGTGTGTGAGGCTACACTACTTTGTGTTGTGAGGCTACACACTTTGTTGGGGTGAGGCTCACTACTTGTGGGGTGTGTGAGGCTAACACTAACCTGTGTGTGTGAGACTACACTACTTGTATGTGTGTGTGAGGCTACACTACTTGTGTGTGTGAGGCTACACTACTTGTGTGTGTGTGTGGCTACATTACTTGTATGTGTGTGTGAGGCTACACTACTTGTGTGTGTGAGGCTACACTATTTGTGTGAGGTACACTAGTGTTGTGTGAGGCTACACAACTTGTGTGTGGTGAGGCTACACTACTGTATGTGTGTGTGTGAGGCTACACTACTTGATGTGTGTGTGAGGCTACACTACTTTATTGTGTGGTGAGGCTACCTACTTGTATGTGTGTGTGAGGCTACACTACCTGTGTGTGTGAGGCTACACTACTTGTATGTGTGTGAGTGAGGCTACCTACTTGCATGGGTGTGTGAGGCCCACACTACTTTGTGGGGTGTGTGGGCTACACACTTGTATGTGTGTGTGAGGCTACAAATACTTGTATGTGTGTATGAGGGTACACTACTTTGTATGGTGTGAGGCTACACTACTTGTGTGTGTGAGGCTACACAATTTGTGTGTGAGGCTACACTACTTGTATTTTGTGTGTGAGGCTACACTACTTTTTGTGTGGGAGGCTACACTACGTTGTGTGTGTGCACATCTTTTGTGTGAGGCTACACTATTTGTATGTGCGTGTGAGGCTACACTATAGTATGTGCGTGTGAGGCTACACTCTTTGTGTGTGAGGCTACACTATTTGTATGTGGGGTGTGAGGCTACACTACTTTTTTGTGTGAGGCACACTATTTGTATGTGTGGTGAGGCTACACTATTTTTATGTGCGTGTGAGGCTACACATTTGTATGTGCTGTGAGGCTACACTACTTGTATGTGCGTGTGAGGCTACACTATTTGTAGTGCGTTGAGGCTACACTACTTTTATGTGTGTGTGAGGCTACACTACTTCTATGTGTGAGGCTACACTACTTGTATGTGTGTGTGAGGCTACACTACTTGTATGTGTGAGGCTACAATAATGTGTGTGTGAGGCTACACTACTTGTTGTGTGAGGCTACACTACTTGTGTGTGGTGAAGCTACACTACTTGTGTGTGTGTGAGGCTACACTACTTGTGTGTGTGTGTGTGTGTGTGAGGCTACACTACTTGTGTGTGTGAGGCTACACTATTTTTTTGTGAGGACACACTGTGTGTGTGAGGCCCCCACTAACTTGTGTGTGTGTGTGAGGCTACACTACTTGTGTGTGTGTGAGGCTACACTACTTGTGTGTGTGTGAGGCTACACTACTTGTGTGTGTGAGGCTACACTACTTGTGTGTGTGTGAGGCTACACTACCTGTGTGTGTGTGAGACTACACTACTTGTATGTGTGTGTGAGGCTACACTACTTGTGTGTGTGAGGCTACACTACTTGTGTGTGTGTGTGGCTACATTACTTGTATGTGTGTGTGAGGGTACACTACTTGTGTTTGGTAGGCTACACTATTTGTGTGTGAGGGTACACTACTTGGGGGTGAGGCTACAACTTGTGTGTGTGTGAGGCTACACTACTTGTATGTGTGTGTGTGAGGCTACACTACTTGTATGTGTGTGTGAGGCTACACTACTTGTGTGTGTGAGGCTACACTACTTGTATGTGTGTGTGAGGTACATACCTGTGTGTGTGAGGCTACACTACTTGATGTTGTGAGTGAGGCTACCTACTTGCATTGTGTGTGTGGGCTACACTAAATTGGTGTGTGTGTGAGGCTCACTAAATTTTATGTTGTGTGACTACACTACTTGTATGTGTGTATGAGGTACACTACTTGTATGTGTGTGAGGCTACACTACTTGTGTGTGTGAGGCTACACTATTTGTGTGTGAGGCTACACTACTTGTATGTGTGTGTGAGGCTACACTACTTTGTGTGTGAGGCTACACTACTTGTATGTGTGGTGAGGCTACACACTTGTGTGTGAGGCTACACTATTTTTGTGCGTGTGAGGCTACACTATTTGTAATGCGTGTGAGGCTACACTACTTTGTGTGTGAGGCTACACTATTTGTATGTGTGTGTGAGGCTACACTACTTTGTGTGTGAGGCTACACTATTTGTATGTGTGTGTGAGGCTACACTATTTGTATGTCGGTTTAGGCACACTATTGTTTGCGTGTGAGGCTACACTAAATTGTATGTGCGTGTGAGGCTACCACTATTTGTATGTGCGTGTGAGCTACACTACTTGTATGTGTGGTGAGGTAACTACTTCTATGTGTGAGGCTACACTACTTGTATGTGTGTGTGAGGCTACACTACTTGTTGTGAGGCTAAAAATACTTGTGGGGTGTGAGGCTACACTACTTGTGTGTGTGAGGCTACACTACTTGTGTGTGTGTGAAGCTACACTACTTGTGTGTGTGTGAGGCTACACTACTTGTGTGTGTGTGTGTGTGGGCTACACATCTTTGGGGTGTGTGAGGCACACTACTTTTGTGTGTGAGGGTACACTAACTGTGTGTGTGAGGCTACACTACTTGTGTGTGTGAGGCTACACTACTTCTATGTGTGTGTGAGGCTACACTACTTTGTGTGTGAGGCTACACCCACTTGTGTGTGTGTGAGGCTACACTACTTGTTTTGTGTGTGTGAGGCTACACTACTTGTGTGTGTGTGAGGCTACACTACTTGTATGGTGTGTGTGAGGCTACACTACTTTTTATGGTGTGTGAGGCTACACTACTTGTATGTGTGTGTGTGAGGCTACACTACTTGTGTGTGTGAGGCTACACTACTTGTGTGTGTGAGGCTACACTACTGTATGTGTGATGAGCTACCTACTTTAGTGTGTGTGTGAGGCTACACTACTTGTGTGTGTGTGTGTGAGGCTACACTACTTGTATGTGTGTGTGTGTGTGTGAGGCTACACTACTTGTATGTGTGTATGAGGCTACACTACTTGTTGGTGGAGGCTACGCCCGCTTGGTGTGGAGGCTACACTACTTGTGTGTGTGTGTGAGGCTACACTGCTTGTATGAGTGTGTGTGTGAGGCTACACTACTTGTAAGTGTGTGTGTGTGAGGCTACACTACATGTATGTGAGTGAGGCTACACTACTTTTTATGTGTTTTGAGGCTACACTACTTGTATGTGTGTGAGGCTAAAACTGCTTGTTGTGTGAGGCTACACTACTTGTAAAGTGTGAGTGAGGCTACACTACTTGTATGTGTGTGCGAGGCTACACTACTTGTATGTGTGTGTGGAGGCTACACTACTTGTTGTGGGGTGGGGGTTGTGTGTGTGTGTGAGGCAAAACTACTTGTATGTGGGTGTGTGTGTGGGGGGAGGCTACACTAAATTGTATGTGTGAGTGAGGCAAAACTACTTGTATGTGTGGCGAGGCTACACTACTTTTATGTTGTTGGGGGGCTACACTACTTGTATGTGTGTGAGTGAGCTACACTACTTGTATGTGTGGAGTGAGGCTACACTGCTTGTATGTGTGTGAGTGAGGCTACACACTTGTATGTGTGTGAGTGACGCTACACTACTTGCATGGTGGGCGAGGCTACACTACTTGTAAAGTGTTAGTGAGGCTACACTACTTGTATGTGTGTGAGTGAGGCTACACTACTTGTAGTTGTGTGAGTGAGGCTACACTGCTTGTATTGTGTAGTGAGGCTACACTGCTTGTAGGGGCAGCTTGTTCTCTTAATATAGTATATCATGTTGCCAAGATATCAAATTAATGACTGTTTAACGCCCTTAGTTAAACAGTGATGATCGACGTAGAATTCTAGTGGACGGTGGTCCCTGTTTTCTGATCGCTCGTCAGATTTTTTTTTACGCCTAAACATTTATTTTACCGGTCCTCGCATAAATGGTTAACTTCTATTGGTAGACGACCTCCAAACTACTAACCTACCTAATTTAAAGTACTCGAGAAATTTGCAAACCTTATGTGAGAAATTCACACAGAATTTGTGATGTATGGGTTTGAGAGATGTAATGTTGGTTGTGAGAGACTTGTTACTTGTGTTGAGGCTGCTGTATTTGCGAGTCGTAGATCAACTAGCCATTAAACCATGTGATTATGTGAGCATTTTGAAATAATTTAATTCACATATCTTGTACACTCTCACACACAAAAAATACCTCTAGTGTATTACTGCTTGTTCTATCCTTCATTTTTCCTTTCTCAAGATTAACTTTCTTTATTAACATTTCTTAAAACTAATAAACTGTTCGGTGATCTAATTAGAATTTAACAAACTGGGAACAAGGAACCCGGGCGGCTCCAGCACACCTCTACCCTTCCCAGGTGTAGTTAACGTGTACACAGGGTGGAGTTTGCTTACCTGGTACAGGTAACCATTGAACTTGACGGAGAGTGTATGCACGGCGGCCTCCTTTGGCTTGAAATTAACGCGGAATCTTGCGTGACCTTCAGACTGCACGTAGTTAGGAACGTTGCGGCCGTTGGACAGACACGATGATCTCCAGGTTGCCTGCGCCCGCTTGTGACGCATCGACTGTGATACAGACACAGACACGGAGCAGAGAAGATAAGAGCCATGTTAGAAGTTAAAACTTTCCTTAGAAATTATGTTATCAGTGCCATTAATGCTACTTTTTTCCCACATAATATTAAAAATTATAAGAAATTCAGATATCGATTATAAAAGCATCAACAGAAAAGATAATGAGAAGCTAGACGCTGGGTGGTATAAAGCAAGCACTCACTGGAGAAGTAGACAGGCTTAGCTACGATACCGGTGGCTACTTCAGTGACCCTGACCTTGGTAGCGTCGTAGGCTTTGACCAGGAAGGGTGAGCCTGGCACCAGCATGCCCGCTACCCGCACCTCTACACTGTGGTCACCTGCAACACACCAACACACCTTAACTACATATAAAGTCATGAACAATAAAACTTTCTCAGCATCAAGAGAAACATAAAGCCACAAACATATATTGAGAAAAAATTGTGCCTAAAGATTATTATTATTATATTATTATTATATAGTAGGTTTGTTTCATATAGGGACAGAACGCTCGAGCGAGTTACAAGATATAATACTATAAGAGATAATAATTAATACATATTATACATAAATGCAATAAAACGACTAGTCCATACAACTACACGCTCAACTTCAGCATATTGTCCGAAATCTGTTAAAAACTAGAGAGATGAAGGAATTAGTAGTAAGTTGAACGTTTCCTGAGTTAGTTTTAGTTAGTTTAATATTTTTATTATGCACCTCATGCCCATTGCGTGGGGGGGGGGGGGGAGGCAGTCAAGAGATTACAGAGGTACATATATGGGATCGCAAAGTTTTGATGGCTGAACGAGTCACAGTGGTGATGAACTATTTACATATCTATATTTGGTTACAATCGTAATGAGTTATTTATGCAGATATAAATTAGGTCACAAAAATATTACAAAACTCTACCTCTAGGTCCAGGTATATTTTATGAGAGTATGCTTGTAAAAACTAAGTTTAATTGGATATGCGTCATTTACAACGGGCAAAGTCAGGGTATATTTCCAGAATGGTTGATAAATGCCACTGTGAACAAAATACTTTGACATTATCTTGAACATTTCTGAGTAAGCTATCTCTGAATTCATTAATTTTTATCGCATTCAGTACATAATGACGCACAGATTCCAGAGGGCAAAGTGAGACCAGGTCGAAGGTTCTTACCTCCTATAGTCTGGTTGTTTACCCTTGACACAGGAAACATTTACTTATATCCAGGGCTTCCCTTACCTATTTCAACAACCAGTTCCAGGGGACGCACATGGACAGACCCACACTTTATAAAACTTTTATATTTGAATATTTATAAAAAATGGTGAAAAATATCTATGAATTTGAAATTTTTTGCGAACATTGAAACGGATGGTCTGGTTTTATGGAATAATGGGGGATACTTCTCTTGATCGTGCAGTGTCCAATATAAGGTTAATTTTGGGCTAGTAACATAATTAATATTCCACTCTTGAAATGCCTGTTTTGTTTATATATGACCTATAAAAATGTAATTTTTGGTATGATAAACATGTGCAATGACAATATAAAGTAAAATAAACATCACTGGAGTTAGGTTAAGTCAGGAAACAGGACAAGTGTTATCTGACGCGGGTCTTAGTCATATGATGACCCACCACTGGAATTTTTGGTCATCTGACCGAGGCCTTCCACTGCTTGTCCGTCCACCTTTAAAATTTATATATGAGAGTGTACTCTACTAACCAACTTCCGTCGGAGTGTACTCGACCAGCAGTTTGCCTTCGTCGTTGGTAGAGACGCGAGGCTCCAGACTCACTCTTAACGGTGACAGCACCTTCACTTCCAGCTGATCCACGCTTGCCTGCACAACAACCAGTATACAACATACGTATTAACCTTTACACTTGATTTCTAAATATATTAATAACTTTATATCTGAGTCCATATGAATTAATAGTTTTGGCAATTGTGCCTTTTTCCCTGCAGCCTCTTATGTAAAACAAAAATATGCTCTTTTTGAGTGATACTAAAAAAAGGCCGTCTTTCTACACTACTGCGGCAGTAGCCCCTTGTTACGGCGCAATATAAACACAAATGCAGTATAATGTGATCCTTTATTGACTACGTTTCGCCCACACAGTGGGCTTTTTCAAGTCACAAACAGAACTACCTGGGGTGGAAGGAACGCGAGTATTTATAGTCCAGCTGAGGTCAGTGAAGAATGCTGCATCTGATGATGTACGGAGTGGGGTTATAGAGTCTAAAAACTTGGTAGCTTGGAAAGGAGATTGGATAAGTTTGTGAGCAGACCTTTTAACAGTGTTCTTATGTGGATAGCGATGAAGAAGTTTCTTGGCAAGTGGTTCAGCTATGTTATAGAAGCCACGATTCTGGTTGAAGTTGTCGGATATAGAAATGAGTGATGATTCAGGATTCTTCGGTATTGGGTGTTGTCTTCTGTGGCGATAAGTCTTGAGTTTCTGTAGTTTATCAAGTGGTTGTGTGAATTACGGTGTTGTACGCAGGCATTCCTTGTGTAGTCAGACCTGCTTGCGTATTGGTGTTCTGAAATACGTGTTTGGAGGTCCCTTGATGTTTCGCCCACGTATAACTTGTTGCAGTCATTACAAGGGATTATGTATACCCTGCAGAGGATGGAGGCTTGTCCTGCCTACTACTGGTGATGTCCTTGATGGTCGTGGTTGTGGAGGAGATACTTGGAATGATGTTTTGGCAAAGATGTTGGAAACATGTTTGGCAATGGAGTTGGGTGGGAAGGACTATGTATCTCTTCTCGGCAGTGTCTTCTCTGGGTGTGTTGAAGATGTTTAATGCTCGCCGTCTGCAGTCTCTGATGAAGTGACGAGGATAGTGGAGTTTAGAAAATATTTGTTCAATTATAGTGCATTCTTCCTCAAGGAACTCGTTGCTGCAGATTCTGAGTGCACGCAGGAAGAAGCCTATAATTACACCACGTTTGGTTTTGGTGTCGTGGTGAGAGTAGAAGTGGAGAAGATCGTTTTGGTTGGTGGGTTTTCGATAGACATTTAAAACGAAGTTCGTGGTCAGCTTTGCAGAGCAGGACATCAAGGAAAGGAAGAGTGTTGTCGACTTCTTCTTCAAGTGTGAACTGGATTGAAGGCTCGACCTGGTTGAGCTTGTCTTGGAGAGCTTGAACGTTGAAGCGTTTAGGAGTTATGAGGAGAATGTCGTCAACATAACGGAGCCAGGTGACAGACGAAGGAATAATGGTGGAGAAACGTTCGGCTTCTAGATGTTCCATGTATAGGTTCGCCAGGACTGCACTGAGTGGCGAACCCATGGGTAGTCCAAAAGTCTGCTGAGAAAGAGGTGATTTTCGAAAGAGAAACACGTAAAGCCAACACATAGTTCAACAAGGTCGATGAATCGCTGGCTGGAATGGGAAGATCAAGTGAATCGTCAATTTTTCTGCGCAAGAGATCGATGGCTTGTGTAGTAGGTACTTTGGTGAATAGGGAAGTCCACGTCAAGGCTGGAAAGTTTCTTGTTCCTAGATGTTGATGTTGCGAATGCGATTGAGAAGATCACCTGAGTGTTTGAGATGTGCTGGACTGATAGTGCCCAAGAGTTTAGAGAGGTGTTTGGCGAGAATTCCTGAGAGCTGGTGGGGAGCACTGCCTATTCCCGAGATATGGGCCTCAGTGGGATACCAGGCTTGTGAGTCTTGGCAGGCCGTACATTCTGGCAGGTCTGGGTTGCTGGGCATGGTGTGCAGAAGTTTCTTCCCTTGTTCTGAGCCCCTCAGAATGCGGCGAGTCCTTTGAAGAAAAGTTTTAGTAAGGTTGTCCACTTGGTTAGTTGTGAGAGGTTTGTAGGTATCTGGGTCATTAAGTAGATTGAGCATTTTGTTCCTGTAATCGTCAGTGTTCATGATAACAACACCACCTCCTTATCAGCGGTGGTGACCCTGATGTGTCGTGTCTTCTGCTAAACCTTTGAGTGCATTGATGTAACGTCGAGGTATGACTGGGTGAGCTGCGGTTGAATGGCTGCGAGATGATCCTAAGATAGCCTTTTTTGGGAAATCCGGAGTCATTTGTGCTGGTTTTTTGGGATAAATTG